GCACCGTATCGGTTGGCTCCTCCTGAGATGCAGGAGGTGTCTACACAGCTGCAGGAGCTGTTAGACAAGGGTTTTATTAGACCGAGCAGTTCACCCTGGGGAGCCCCGATTCTGTTCGTAAAGAAGAAGGACGGGTCGCATCGGATGTGTATAGACTATAGGGAGCTGAATAAGGTAACAGTGAAGAACCGCTACCCACTCCCGAGGATTGACGACCTCTTTGACCAGCTACAGGGAGCATCTTGGTTCTCCAAGATCGATTTGCGTTCAGGGTATCATCAGATGAGGGTCAGAGAGGAGGATGTGCAGAAGACGGCGTTTCGGATGCGTTATGGCCACTATGAGTTCGTGGTGATGCCTTTCGGGCTCACCAATGCTCCTGCCGCGTTCATGGACCTCATGAACCGCGTGTGTAGACCGATGTTAGACCGGTCTGTAATAGTGTTTATCGACGATATCTTGGTTTACTCCAAGACACGAGAGCAGCATGGGGAGCACCTGCGAGAGGTTCTGGAGACTTTGAGGAGGGAGAACTTGTATGCCAAGTTCTCCAAGTGTGAGTTCTGGTTGCGCGAGGTGCAGTTTCTTGGGCACCTTGTCAACCAGGACGGGATTTCGGTAGATCCGGCCAAAGTGGAGGCCGTGATGAGATGGTAGGTTCCGAGGTCTCCATCTAAGATTCGGAGTTTCCTGGGATTAGCTGGCTACTATCGGAGATTCATCCAGGATTTCTCCAAGATAGCCTTACCCCTGGCCCGGCTAACGAGGAAGGTCGTGGTCTTTCGTTGGGGGCCTGAGCAGCAGGCTGCATTCGAGACGCTGAGACAGAGATTGTGCGAGGCGCCAATCTTAGCCCTGCCAGAGGGCATGGAGGATCTCGTCGTGTACTGTGATGCGTCCATCTCGGGCTTGGGCGCAGTATTGATGCAGAGAGGGCATATTATCGCTTACGCTTCGAGGCAGCTGAAGCCTCACAAGGCGAACTACCCGACGCATGATTTGGAGCTGGGGGCTATTGTGTTCGTCCTTAAGATTTGGCGTCATTACCTCTATGGGGTTCGTTGTACGATTTACACGGACCACAAGAGCCTGAGGTATCTCATGGATCAGCCGAATCTGAACATGAGGCAGCGTCGGTGGTTGGACATGGTAAAGGATTACGATTGCGAGATCCTTTACCACCCGGGGAAGGCCAATGTCGTGGCCGATGCGCTTAGCCGCAAGGCAACGCCGATCAGGGATATCTGTCTAAGGATGACAGTGGTGACTCCGCTTTTGGAGCGGATTCGGGAGGCTCAGCAGGAGGCTATGAAGGAGGAACATCGGAAGAGCGAGCGGATTCTGGGACAGGTTTCCTCCTTCGACTATGATAGCCGAGGTTTATTGACTCTTCACCGTAGGGTGTGGGTCCCTTATCATGGAGGCGTGCGCCAGATCCTGATGGAGGAGGCACACAAATCCAGATTTTCTATCCATCCCGGGGCGACAAAGATGTATAGGGATCTTCGTCCCGATTATTGGTGGCCCTGCATGAAGCGGGACGTAGCATGGTATGTAGAGCGGTGCTTGACCTGCAGGAAGGTCAAGGCCGAGCACCAGAGGCCGCACGGCAAGATGCAGCTGTTGGATATTCCGCTGTGGAAATGGGAGGACATTACGATGGATTTCATCACAAAGCTTCCCAGGACCGCGTGGGGGGTGGATTCGATTTGGGTCATCGTCGATCGATTGACCAAGTGCGCCCATTTTATCCCAATTCAGGAGAGCATCTCGGCCGAGAAGCTGGCCGATATCTATATTCGGGAGGTAGTGGCGCGGCACGGGGTGCCAGTTTCGGTGATTTCGGACAGGGACGTTCGGTTTACTTCCAGGTTTTGGAAGAAGTTTCATGACGAGCTGGGTACTCGTCTGCATTTTAGCACCGCCTTTCACCCGCAGACGGATGGTCAGAGCGAGCAGACCATCCAGACATTAGAGGATATGCTGCGGGCATGCGTTTTAGACTTCGGAGGTAGCTGGGATACCTACCTTCCGTTGGCGGAATTCTCGTATAATAATAGCTATCATGCGAGTATCGATTGACCTCCCTTCCAGATGTTGTACGGGAGGAAGTGCAGGACCCCGATATGCTGGGGCGAGGTTGGCCAGAGGGTCATGGGGAGCACCGATGTAGTGCTCAAGACGACCGAACGGATTCAGCAGGTCAGGAGCAGACTTCAGACTGCGCAGAGTCGGCAGAAAAGTTATGCCGACAAGCACCGATCGGACCTGGAGTTTCAGGTCGGGGATATGGTTCTCCTGAAGGTGTCGCCATGGAAGGGCGTCATCCGCTTCAGGAAACGGGGCAAGTTGGGTCCCAGGTATATTGGACCCTTCAGGGTTATAGCCCGGGTGGGCAAGGTGGCCTATAGGTTGGATCTACCAGCCGAACTCAGACAGATCCACAACACTTTCCACGTCTCTCAGCTGCAGAAGTTCCTGGTGGACGACTCAGCAGTGGTACCCTTAGAGGACATTCAGGTCGATGACAGCCTGAATTATATTGAGCGGCCAGTGGCGATCCTCGACCGGAAGTCGAAGGATCTAAGGAACAAGAGGGTTGAGCTCGTAAAGGTGCAATGGCAGCAACGGAAGGGGTCGGAGTGGACTTGGGAGCCAGCGGACGAGATGATGGAGCATTACCCCGAGCTGTTCCAGGATCAAGTTTGGAACTTTACGTATAAGGTGGACATTAGGAGGCCAGATCTATAGTTTTGATGTGCTAGATCTCATTTAAATCAACTGTATGGAATTGGTCAAGACTGAACTCGGCGAGTCCATTCTTGGACTCGGCGAGTCCAAGGCAATCTCCTTAGAACTCGACGAGTTGTTCATCAACTCGGCGAGTCGAGGACAGATCTTGTTCATCAGATGAAGGTGAACTCGGCGAGTCGGATGAGTTTTCATGTGGCGTTCGTATGAGAGAAGAACTCGTCGAGTTGACGGCCCAACTCGACGAGTGGGGTCACGGATGAGGACGAGTAAAGAGTGAGGGACTCGGCGAGTTGACGGCCCAACTCGGCGAGTCGGGTCAACTGGAAGTTGATTTTGACTTGGACTTGATTGGGGGTAAAATGGTCATTTTACCCTAAGAGTAGATATCAGTTTTTAACCGAGTGTTTGTGGGGATTGTAGCCGGAGGATTTCCGGAGCAGCAGCGGACGGAGGATTCCCGCACAGAGTACCAGCAGCTTCTCGTACGAGGTGAGTTACCTTCCAGTAGGGGTGGGTCTAAGGCCACAATGCCGGCCCACCAATGAGGAGTATTTAGAAGATGATTGTCTTTGTGATAATTATCTTGGTCTGGTTATGTGTTTGGTTATGAGTTATATCTGTATGATATGTTACGTGCATGATAGGGATAGTTTCCCGGATAGCGGTCCTTAGGACCGATGGGTAGGTCAGTACCCGGATATGCCTGACTGTATACTTATATCTTGTTTCTGTATGCTAGTGGTAGGGGGTGGAATAGTCCCCAGTTACCGGTTGAAAGATACCGACGATGGTTACCGGTTGAAAGATACCGATGATGTTTACCGGTTGAAAGATACCGACGATGGTTACCGGTTGAAAGATACCGATGATGTTTACCGGTTGAAAGATACCGACGATGACTACCGGTTGGAAGATACCGATGATGATTACCGGTTGAAAGATACCGAGGACTTGTGTGGTATGTGGTATGATGGGGGAACTCACTAAGCTTTGTGCTTACGGTTTCGGTTTTGGTTTCAGGTACCTCTTCGTCTAAGGGGAAGGAGCCGGCGGCATAGCATCGCATCACACACACACACACATGATTTCCGCATGGAGTTTTCTGGGATTGTACTCTGATATATTATTATTCTATGACTTGGGTTTTCAGACTTGATACATTGACTTGAGAGTGATGTGTTTTCAGATTGTACATTGTTTATGAGATGATGTGTTTTCACAATGTTTTCTTATGAATGTTTTTATGTGTTGGATAATTAAAAAGAAATTTTTGGACCTGAAAAATGGGATGTTACAAAAAGCTTCCGACTTCAGATGCGACATCCTATGTCTGATCCATTTCACTTTTTGATTTTGATTTCTGAAAATCCGATTAGGAACCTGTGAGTACCGATTCCGAGTCCTTCAATGTCGACTGTGACTGCGAGTCCAGAACTCCAATTCCAATTTCATGAACAACAAAGAAATTCCGATTCCAACTGAGTTCGTTTGCAAATCTGGGAAATTCAAATTCGGAGTATTCAACAAAGAAATCGATGTTACGTATTTGAGATTGAAGGTTATTATCATATTTACAAGTTTGTCACCGTGTCTTTTATGCTTAGATTAAATGAGTGGCTGAGAATGATTCCCCCATTCTCAACCTTTTTTATTTTCTCAATTGAACTTATATATATATATATATAATATATATTATATATATATATATATATATATATATATATATATTAATTGGGATAATGACTTGATAGGGTAAGATACTTTTTGAAATGTACACATTTAGTCCTTATTCTTTTTTTTGTAAAATAAACTCTTATACTTTATTAATATGTACACATTAGGTCCTTTTCACCGGATTCTACAGGTTTTGCTGACGTGGAAGGGTTTATTTTACAAAAAAAAAAGAATAAGGACTAAATGTGTACATTTCAAAAAGTATCTTACCCTATCAAGTTCATTTTCCCTTTCTTTTATTTTGTTGAAATGAAATACCAAGGTGGCATCCACATATCACAACGAGATTTTTCCAACTTTTATTCATCATGAAAAAGAGGGAGAACCCCGATCTCCGGCGACTCCTTTGTGTGTTCCTACACATCACTGGTAGCAAGGAGGAATGATGGCAAAAACAACAAGGTCGAAGGGGGAGGCAGGAGGAGGAAGTAGAGACGGTAGTTGGCGGCGAGGAGCTGCTCTGGTAGCCCCCTCGTCGATTCTTTCTTCTTTTCTAGCAACATATCTCAAAGATGGAGGCAAAGAGAGACAGATCGGAGAAACACAACAGGTAAAGGGTGTTTGGCTGTTGCTGTTCGACCGGAAGGAAGAGAGACGAGAAAGAGAAGGGTCGCCGCCCTTTTCTTGTTGCTGGAGGATCACCCACCTCCGGTGACTAAGCTAATTAATTGCTATTTAGTGCCACTTGTGCTTCCACATCAGCAAAACCTGTAGAATCCGGTGAAAATGACCTAATGTGTACATATTAATAAAGTATAAAGGTTTATTTTACAAAAAAAAAATAAGGACTAAATGTGTACAATTCAAAAAATATCTTACCCTATCAAGTCATTTTCCCTAAAAGAAAATCCGTATATGACCGGTATACCGGGTATAGCCGGTCACAAGGATTGCATTGTTACAAAGAATAAAGTATAAGGGTTTATTTTACAAAAAAAAAAAGAATAAGGATTAAATATGTACATTTCAAAAAGTATCTTACACTATCAAGTCATTATCCCTATATTAATTTCGTGTTCCCTTATGAACAGTAACAGACCACAGATACTGTTCATCGTGTTACCCTACTCAACATCGGTTAGTTCCACCGCTCATCATCGGCTTCTCCCTTAATATGCGTACAGTGATACCCACCGCCTCATCCGTTTAACAAACATACCAGTTGATCTAGATTCATCGGCGAACCCTTGCTTTTCCATCAAAGACATACTCAGGTCTCAATATATTGCATCGACTTCAATTATCTTCATTCCTTCAGCGATTTCATGCCCTAAATTGAATCTCTCATTTTCTTCAGTTCTTTAACTCGGTCGTTCTACACTCACACCGCCCCCACCATAACGACCGTCGCCGTCGGCATCAACGCTTTTGGGTATAGGCTATTTCAGGTACAAAGAAAACGGATTACGCCTGCGATACCCATGAGCAATTCTATTTGCTACTCTAGGACCCAGGTATGAACAATCCCACTTTCTGAAATCGAACCTTTAATTTAGGTTTTCTTCTGATTTTGATTTTGATTCTGATTAGGGTTCAATCTCTTTTAGATAACTATCTGACCCATAATTTCTTTTCCGGTTTTGGTTTTGGTTTTGGAGTTGAGTACGACATCTGAAGGCTCGAAGACAAACCGTTGTTTCCTTCCGGTAATGTTCCATCCAATTTGGGTTCTGTATATTCAACTTTGTTTCCACATCGAATCTTAATTTGTTGTTTTCACTGTAAAAAAAATGTAGCAGAGCGAAGAAAGGGAGCTGTAGAGTACCCATTTGCAGAAGAGATTGACACACATGATTTGAAAAAGGAAGGTATCTGGTGTAATTTTTTATCTTATTCCTTCTCAGACTATTGGGCAACAAAAAAGGGAGCCCAAAGAAAATCGGTTCTTTTCTTTTTGTTCTTTTGCTGCTTAATTCTCAATTGGGGACCAATATTTTGTTGGGTTGGTTCTTACTTTATTTACACATAGGTTGAATCTATGGTTTTAGTGTTTTCTGTGTTCTTTACACTTACTTTTTGCCTGAAAATATGACCATATTCCCTATTAAAGTTGGAGCATGTTATCAACCACAAATTCACATGTCGTGATTTTCTTCAACTATGCAAACAGGTAATATATGTGTTATAATAGGAGTACCTTACAAATTTCAATTGGGTTTATTCAGTCAATATTTTGATTGGGCAACAAAGCCAATAAGTTTTAACACAAACACAAATCCAAACCCTCCAACCCATGCATGGGAAACTTTTCTAGTTTGAAACTAAATTTATCACTTCCACTATTTATTTATGTCGGTGGTAATAATGACATTTACTTAATTGGATTGGAGGTACGTATTATTGAAAAAATTTGCCATTCATTATTACATTTAGTATGATTAGGGGAAAATGTATTTAGGTGCCCAAGTTTGCATACCCTAACCTTAAAACCATGCAGTATTGATAAATAATTTAATTTTTTTCGTTCTGGAGATTTTATTTTCAATTATCTTAATTCTTAATCACATACGTTCGATACGAGATTTCTCTACGGCTCTCTCAATCACGTTTCCTCTTTTCAGTCATATTCCTAGATATGTTTGACCATTGCTGGGTTAAAAATTGGTCTCTTTCCACTTTCTTGAAAAATCAAAATAACAAAATTGCTTTTAAAACGTGTTTTTGACTTTTTTTTCCCCCTAGTAGCCATAAACGACAATCTTTTGAGGTAATTATATTCCGAATTTTTATTGTATTGTGATTATCTTTTGTTTTGTGTTTTTTTTCTTTTTTTGTTTTTTGATATTTTTGAATTTCAATTTTATAAGTTCCACGACCAGAATTTAACTCTTGTTTGGAATGTTCGTGTAATTGTTCGGGAATGATATTCATGTGAATTGTTTAAACAAGGGATATTTCGGATACGGATTCGGATACCTAAACGAATATCCGAAAATTAACTCTTTCATTATTTATTTTTAATTGGATTAAAAATAGGTCAAATTGTTGTATGTTTTGATTGGTCTTTTTGGTGTATGTCTCATTTATCAATCATTTCGTTAGCACGTTCAAAAAAAATATATTAGAAGTTCACAACCAAATTAACATACTCTCGATTAACATAATCACTATAAACTAATAACATTAAAGATTAGGGATGAGCAAAGGAACCGACCCGGCTGGAACCGGCCCGGGAACCGAAGTCGGCCGAAATTAAGAACCGAACCGACACTACTAGAAAAAGGAGGGATTTCCTATGGATATTTCCGAGGAAAATGAATTTCTCGGTATTACCTACCAATTACCGAGGAAATTCTTAGGAATAACCATAAACACACTATTCCTACACTTTTCCTAGGATATTATTAAATACCCAACTTTCCTCGGTATTTCCTTAGTAATATTTTTTTTAACAATTTTTTTTTGTAACAACAAAAACATACCGAGTTTATGTAGAGAATACACTCATTGTTCCTACACTTTTCCTATGAAAGTTGTACTAACTGCACTTTCCTCGGTATTCCCTCGGTATTTCCTACGCTTTTCCTAGGATCTTTATCAATACCCAACTTTCCTCGGTATTTCCTTAGTAATATTTTTTTAACATTTTTTTTCCTTGTAATAAAATAAATCATATCGAGTTTAGTAGAGAATACAGTCATTGTTCCTACATTTTTCCTACGAATGTTGTACTTACTACACTTTCCTCGGTATTCCCTCAGTATTTCCGATGCATTTCCTAGGAACTAGCATACAAATGATCAATTTATATAGACACTTGTGGTATTTAAACAAATTAAACCATGACTGTTACTAGACTTAAATAATTTATATAGACACTTGTGTTACGTACGTATGTACACCACCATAACACATTACTCAAAGCATTTGTTTATTATTATATATTCTATATATTGTATGTGCATATATGTATGTTTACGTATGTGTATAATACATATTTTGGTAAGATAAAAGTATTTCATGTATAACAAAGTTCCGCAAAATATGGAACAAAAAACATAACGTTTGAACGTATAAAAATAAAAAAACGAGTTTGCTTTCTAGGAAATCCCTTGGAATTTTCATATGCATTTCCTAGAAATTTATGACGAATAATGTATTTCCTAGGAAATCCATCGGAACTTCCCAAATTTTTCCTAGGAAATCCCTTGGAATTTTCCTACGAAATCCCTTGGAATTTTCATATGCATCGCGAACTGCTGGTTCTACCGGTTCCCGGTTCCTACCGGTTCTTACCGTGTCTTCAATGTTGGAACCGATCCTCAATAAATAGCAACAAACGGTTCCGGTTTTTGCCGGTTCTACCCGTTTAGGTTCCTACCGGCTCCCGGTTCCAAAAATCCACAAGAATATCGTCCCGGTGCCGGCCCGACCGGTTCCATCAGGTTCCGGTTCCGGGTACCGATTCCCCGGTCCATATGCTCATCCCTATTAAATTAAGATACTTGGGGACAAATACAAATGAGTAGAAATGAAACGCACATAAGTTTCAAACAACTAACAAAAATATAATGCAGTTTAAACACGTATTAAAAAAAAGTAAAATAATATATATTAATCACTTTATTATTACTTATATTGATCGCATGGCTAGTCGCTTCAAAGTAATTTGAATTGTATAATAGTATAACCCCGTAGGCTAACTAAATTAATGCCAATCACAGGTTTATATTCTCGATTTGGAAGTAATATGTCAACAGGCAGTTACAGGTTTGCAATATTGATTTGGACGTTTGAAGAGATTAGAGACACACAAATGTAAACTACATTATAAAAAATGGTTGAACTTAACTCTATAAAAGTCTTCGTAATCTCTATTTTCGAATAATAAATAATATAAAAAATAATTAAAAAAATATATATTTTTTAAAAATAGCATATCCTAAATTTCCGAAAATTTGTAAAACCACTATCCGTATCCGAATATGAAA